AAAAACTGATTTTGTCTCGATAGAGGCAGTCACAGCAACGATTTCTGGAAGAATTTTTATCGAGGCAGATATCCTGTGGGTAAACTGAAAAGAACCAAACATTGTTGAAACTTCTTAAAACTTCCAAACACGATGGCATACCGCAATTTCAAATAAAACTCTGAGGTCAGACTGTGATGCATTAAATCAATGAGTTTCTGCTAAAAGGCGATCGATGAGTCCTGTTTTTTTAGTGTTCGGTGAAAACTTTATGCCAAACCCATTTCCGCCTGGTTGCTCGGTGCCGTTCTGCATTCATCATATTCTTCGTCCATTTTCAATACAGCATTCTAGTCAAAATCTCATGGAAACGAAGCGTATTTCGTCCATCTCATCAACAACAACTGATAAAAATCTATTTGCCTTTATTTGCAAAATATCGACATCTTCACCTATTACCTATCACAATTTTAGTAATGAAAGGTACTTCTACGAATGTGAAATTTACGTATTCTTCAAGAAATTTACATATTTTTTGTTTAAAATGTGATTGTCATTCCGAAACTACTTAATATTCAGGTCGTGCCACATACCAGTGCAGATAACAGTAACGAATGATGATATTCTGCATCGTCGGAGTTGCACAGTCACTATTCATTTTTTGGATTCTATTCTGGTTCGAAAGCAGACGGTAGATTCGAAAAATACCACTGTTTCAGGATTTCTACCGCAAAACATAACTTCAAGATCAAATTCATATGTACATTCCTCATTAGCTTTGCAACCAGTGGTTGTAGCCGATCGTTCACGTATGCATGCAACAATAGCTTTTGGTTGTACGCAGATTTTTAATATCCGACTTACTGTTTATTATCCGTCCGTCTATGACATCGGTCGTTTTCAAGCCACTGGCTTATTCGATGGTGACAGAATTGCAGTGCCTATACAAGTACCTCCAACATATGTTACTGTGATTGATCAACGGGTTTAAAACTGTTAAAAAATAGACCATATTTCTGTGTTTTAACTTGTCAACATTTCATTTTTCTTTCAAAATGATAGCATTATAATGTCGGATCCTGGTTACGAAGCATTTTCACTGCTTTTTAATGTTTTTCTGTAAGTAGAATAATTACCAAATGCGAAAAAAACATATCCATCTTGATATGAAATACAATGCCTTCAAATGGCTTAACACATTTTAATTGATGCTTCGTGCAGGAAATGACCAAATTAAGATGTTCGACTCTTGATTTGTTTATCTTATTGAAAAGAACAGGAAGGAGAAAGATTTCTTTGATGCATTTTAGATTCTGCTATAGGTCTACACATATTTCAAATTTCCGAAAATTGTTGTTGATTCTGGAAAAAGAAATTTGAAGCGGTATTTTTCTTGCTACTCGAAAGAGTGTGTGGAATAAAAATAAATTGTATTTTATAAGTCGTTTTGTTTGCCATTCGTTCTGCCATACATAGTATTTATTTTATACCTCATGCCTGTCCATCACTGTGGTAACTGTGTGTTAATAGTTGAGTAACCAGTTTGGCAGAAAGGGGTGGTTCAGGGCATGACTCAAAAGAATAGGAACTGTTTATTTTTTGAAAAAAAAAAATGCTTTTTCACAAGATATTTAACTTTGTCCATGTTACATTCATAAATTGTATTTTTCTGCAAGATTTTATCCTTTTCTGTTTTTGGAAGGAAATATGTTCGTTTGAAATTAAACAGGTTCTCTTGTTCTAATTTTGTTTGGTTCACCAACTTTCACATAAGTTTAGATTGAAAAGCATAAATATATCTGTACCATCTTCTGATTGCTGAACGGTGCGCTATCTTTTGCACTTCCTAAAATTCATAGATTTGTGGGAATTATACGGGTTTGAGTTTTATAGAATCATTTTTCTGGTTATCTGTCTAAACATGAGTGTTTACACTAGTGCTCAGTGGAAGATCATGAAATTAACTCTTGAGGAAACAGTACTAATTGTAACTTGAAGATTTCGCAGTAATATCCTCGGGACATTGCTAATTTTAATCGTTTTTAGTTGAGTGCTCGTCATGGCATCTCAGACGCAAGGCATACAGCAGCTTCTAGCGGCAGAAAAGCGGGCTGCAGAAAAGATTAACGAAGCGAGGAAACGCAAAGCTCAACGTCTAAAGCAAGCGAAACAAGAAGCGCAAGCTGAGATTGAGAAGTATAGAATGGTGCGAACTGTTTTTATTGTTTTCTTTCATTTAGATCTGTTTTTGTTTACAATTTTTTCAATACCTGATGTGGCAGAATGTTTTTGACAGAGTTTATCATCTTTCAATGTATCAAATATTACAACAATATTAAAGTTGGATACAAAAATTGATAAACCACCAAATTCTAAAATATAAGACCATTCCTTCAATCTATTTATGAATATATGTGGATTTAAAGTTATAAAGGATCCAGTGTAACCGAACTTCTAGATAGAATTATTATTATGAGCTGGATTAACTGTGTTTATCAACACTATTATTTCTATCACTGCTTACAATAATTTTACACTTCATAACTTAAGACTTCGCAGGGATTGTTGCGTTTCTTGACCATTTTAGAAGTACACAATATTTATATTTCTTAGGAACGAGAACGTCAGTTCAAGGAATACGAACACAAATATCTCGGGACGAAGGAAGATATTGAAATGAAAATCAAACAAGACACCGAAGATAACATCAAAAAAATGGAAAATTCTGTCGCAAAGAATAAGCAGCAGGTTTGTTATCAGAAAAGTTAATTGTCTCAATGACTGATATTTTTAAGAGTGCACATCAAGTTGAAAACGAGAAATAAGCTTTGTCATGCACGTTTGAAAAACAAATTAGAGTACAGTTTAGTGAAAGGGAGATATGAAGGGAACGGATTTTGTCATCAGTCATCAAGATTTATATATTCCAGGTGATTGTGCGTTTACTGCAGTTAGTCTGTGATATTCGACCTGAACTTCATATGAATCTTCAAATCCAGAAGAAACTTCATGGAACACATCTTTAAATTCCATAATAAAGCTGTTTCTTCAGTGATTTTTATTTCCTTTCACAGATATTTTCCGTCATTTGCTGAAGTAGAAAAAGCGTGTGAATTCACTTCCTAAAACTGCTGATTAAGTTGTTTCAGTTTATTCGTCCTGTCTTCTTTTCTTAAATGTTTTTCATGTGCTCTTAAGTCATCAATAATATTGAATTCAATTCAAATGGATAAAATTATTTCACAGATTGGTTTGAATGTCAGTAGGATTTTTCTAAGACGTCACTACTTGTCAGACATTTCGGGAAAAGAAATACACTTTGTGCAGAATGTGACGTGAAACTTACTGAGGATCGCTACTATGGGAAGATTACCAGCTGGCAGCAGTATATATTCATTTCACTAAAGTACATTTGGAGGGGAATAGTACGATTCTAGAACCAGTTGGTGGGAGAACGTTTCATATAATGTAAGGATATAGCTTTCTATTAATTATGATGACGAAATATTACATCACATCTTTAGACTGATGAAGCACAGTTGTCTTCGTAGCAGCTAAGTTTTTGTATTTCTTTTTTCCTGATTTCAATGCTGTAATTGTAATAATTCCTTCAATAAATTTTTGAATGATCTTTGTTTTGCGAAAAAAAGTCGCAAAAAGCTATCAGTTCGCATCTGTGCATACATTTCAAAAGACGTATTCAAAAGACTTGAATTCTAACGTCTATTTAACCTGTTTTTGCCGCTTTGTGATTGACCACTGGATTGGATGGAGACTCCATGTAACTTAACGAAACACCAGAGGGTTGCCGTTTAATAGAGATTTTTGATTAGATTCATCTGTTTATTTTTAGCCGGCAGGGGTACTGTTTATTGATAACTTCCAGATATTTGAAATGATTGAGATCACGGTGAACGATCGGCTAGGAAAGAAAGTCCGGATTAAATGCAACCCGAACGATACGATTGGTGACTTAAAAAAACTTATCGCTGCACAAACCGGTACGCGGTAAGTAAGAGGTTTCATCTGTTACATGTAAAACTGGCTAGTCTGTCCTATGGGAAGAGACGAACCGTTTGAAAGCTTATTCCATAGCATTAATTTTCCATTTTACAGGTACGAAAAAATAGTGCTAAAGAAGTGGTATACGATTTACAAGGACCATATAACACTGCAGGATTATGAGATACATGATGGTTTCAATTTTGAATTATACTATCAATAATGTCTATGTTTCGAGTGTTACAATCAGTGCTATTTGTATTCTGCCTATTGTTTTTACTTATGTTTGTTCCCACACTGTACAGTTGAATAAATTATTTGATAGGCAGCTAAAGTTTTCCTTTATTTCATGAAAAGGTTTCACCGAATATGTCGTATGTTAATAACTGGCTGCTTGAGCAAGTTTTTGACAGAATACTGTGATAGCATATCATTTCCGGTATCTCTCTACATTTCAGGAGCAATTCTTATGAATAGTAAAACAATGGGAAAATTTTTTTGGGATGTAACGCCTATTTTTGGACAGAAGAAATGAAGTGTTTTCTTGTGATCCCATCTTTCAGATTTTAGTACATTTGTTAATGTGGAAGTATCATGATGTCTTTTTGTTCAAACAAAAGTGGTCAGCCTTATCATTATGATGACTGCGCATGATGCTCCTTTTCAAAGTGGATAATACTGTCGGAAAAACCGAAGGGAATTGTAATTTGTTCATGCGGCTAAAGAATTTGTTGTATAGAGCCATTTCTTGGATAAAAGGCTCATCCCGGAAATGTCTTTTTCCTTTGATATTGAGATTGTACACATTCGCTAACTGATTTTGTAGAACTTTATCTTATTTACAACAGCTGTGAGATTGCTGCACATCCGGTGAAATAATTCCCATGCAATTACCTCTTCGGCAACAGGAAAAAACAAATTTTGTATGTTATCGTAAGCCCAACCTACTTATGGGCAATATAAAGGCTCCTGGGACGGGTTCTCGGCACTCTTCAGTAGAATTTTTTGGTCGGACTTTATATCAGTGCAACATTCGTCTCCTTTAATTCGATTATTAACCACTTCTATTTAAAATTACTGTCACATTTCATCCTAGTCACTTTTTATCCTTTATTTTATATTACCTAATACTATTGTATTATATTGGTTGCTATAATTCTACTATTATTCATAAACCTTACCCTTGCGACTCATTACATCAGCAACAAATAACAACAAAACTTTTCCGACAAATACCATATTTGCAAATTCAGTGTATCTTTAAATCTTGTGTTTATTCAGTTCACTTTCCACATTCTTGATTTTTTTCAAATGCAGGCGATCAGTGGGATACTTAAAGTAGTATAAAGTTATTGATTTCGGCACAATATAATTTTCAGGAAATGTCACCACCATATATGTAGCTCAGATAACATATACATGATAGATCTTTGTTTTTGAAGATTATAGTAACTGTTTTTTCTCGACAAGTTTCCCCTTCTCCATACATATCACTGGTTTGTTTCTTTACAGTAGATTGAATTTTTCAGGTAAAATTAAAATAGCGGAGTATTTCTATGGTCGATCGAATAGTAAAATATGGGGTATTTTTCTGGTTAAGATTTTCATAGTGCAGACTATATTTCTTCCTGATATTATTATCTTTCTTTTCGTTCCATTCTTCACTATTGCATTGTAATCCTTGTTTCAGCTGCTTTTTTCGATCTCACTAGCATGTTCTATTTGCTGATAACAGTTGATGCATATAATGCAGACATAAGTGAAACAGTGGCAGATGTTCTCGATAACTAGTGCAAAGAATGTCACCCCAAGGACGACTACAATAGACCAGTCAGCTAAAATAGAGATAATAATTATAGCACAGATATTGCAGACAGCGAAGAAATTTAGTAACAAATGTGAGTAGCATTTGCTTTATCGAAGTTTGCACGAACCATTGCTTTATTTGCAATCAATTAAAATTTCTGTGTAGCCTAAAGAAATGGATGCCTAACTTCAGCTGTCGCGAATTTCAATGTCGCGAAATTCCGAATAAATAATAAAATAAATTCCTTATTCAAATTATAAATAAATGTTAACAATAGTGTAAATCATTTAACCAATCTACATTCTTTAAAATTATTTCCCTTTTATCTTATCTTTGTCTAACGGAAATTCACATCTTTATTTTAATGACAAAGAATGTCCAATTTGCATGCTAATCT